AAAAATTTTTTTATAATTGTAAATACAATTGATATTCTCTTAATGATATATACAGATTGTTTCAGAAATTAAGATCAAAGAATACGTTTTGGAGAATTTAAATATTTTTTACTCTAAATACAAAAAAGAAATTCAAATAAGATATAGAAAAATGTTTACATGTAGGAGAATTGAATTATTTTGGATTTCTAATTATTTTACATTATTAATTCCGTCGATATCAAGAATTTCACGAGAATCAATCTCGATCAATTATATTAGGGGGAGGAAGATTCAATTGCTCTAAGATGAACCGAATGTATTCTTAGCATATAGGGCATCGTCTTTGCGGAAAGCTACCTCTCTCTAGTTTCCGTTTGCAGCTTCCACACGTGAAGCGGGTATCCGATGTTAGAACACGTCATCCTGTCTGATCAAACATTTGGATAGAAACTGATGACGTAAACTTCAATATCGAATCAATCGCTTTATAATTCGAAAGATTTAGGGGAATTACGTTTCAAATTCACCAGATCCTCGTTTCTTACATTTTTTTTAAATCAGTATCGAATTTCTCCACTCAAAAGATGAGGAATTACGTTTTAACCGTTTCAAATTCATCCATCCCTCATTTCTTTTCCAATACACGCCTGTTTAACCAGAGATTTGGATAGAAACTTGATGACGTTAACTTCAATATCGAAATCGCTCTATAATTCGAAAGATTTAGGGGAATTACGTTTCACTCGTCTAAAATTCACCAGATCTTCGTTTCTTACAACATTTTTTTAAATCGAATTTTTCTACTCAAACAATGAGGAATTATATTTATTAATATTCATCCATCTCTCATTTCTTTTCCAATACACGCCATTCTGTTTAATCAGAGATTTGGATAGACATCAAGACTAGATAAACATCAATATCGATCTCTATAATTCCTGCATTCAAAATTCACGTATCAATGATCGCACGGTTAAGACATTTATTATTTACTCGTGTCGAAATCGTCGACTTTTTTTTGCCACGACCGTAACGAAAAATAGACCATTCCATTCGATCGAGCGTGAAATCCGGAGGACGGTGTGATTGCCGTGTCAGATCAGCCCCCACCACGGGCGCGCAAGTGAGGACAGAGCACGTCAGAGAGAAGAGATGCAATATGCATGCGACGCGCGTCACGCGAATGGTTTATTCCGAGCTTTTCTTACCGAAGATTCGTCCCAACTTCGGCCGAACTAGCGGCGTTATTTCTTTTCAACGTCGGCCACGTGAATTCTAACGGGCTCGTATTAACGGTGGAAAGATTTACGCGGCACGAGTCACGAGTGTTTCCTCATTTATGCATGCCCCCTGTTCTGGAACAGACGTGTAGAAAATTTACGGTTTTGTGGATTTAAAACGAAATGGAATCACGTTGAAAGAACTTACTACTAGTCTTTCACGAGCTTTTTATTCACTTTCTTCATAATTGGATAAAAAGTCTTTATTTCTGGCAATCCTCGATTTAGACTTCGTTTCGAATTATTTATAATAAGTGACTTATAAATTCGGGACGAATCGGAGAAAGTCGGGTACGATCGGGCGGGATCGAGCTACTTTCGTTCGACTTCGGGTCCGTTCGGCAATTATCGGTTCGAATCGAGTTAGATTGTCTTCAATTTTTAAAACGTGATGTGATATATTTCGATATAATATAAACTACAGTATTATTGTACATATATTTTGTATAATTTATAACGATACTTGGTTTTAATAATAATTGTTTAATTGTCTGTAAATAAATTCCAAGCGAGAAAATTATTAATATTTAAAATTTAACGTGAATATTTAACGTAAGAATCTAATCTAACCTAACTTAACCAATTGGTCTACGATATTTAAATTCATGTCGATTATTAACATAAAAATTTGTGTCATAAAATAGATAGAATGTAGAAAACTTCGCAGAAAACGTTATTTAAAGATTTTCGAATTCGAGTTTGGAAGTCGTAAGTTAGTCAATAACCACAAATGCGAGTTCCTCGAGACTTTCTAACCAAGGGTTCCTGTTTCGCGGTCTCGTATGCCCGCTTCTCTTTCCTAAACTCTCCTTTATCTCCCCACCGATCGACCAACACCCTTAAACTCTGCCATCTTCCAGGCAAAATCGATACATCTCCCGGAAAACTACCTCCTTAAACATCAACTGGCCCTATCAACATTCGCCATTTCACGTTTCTTCTTATCATTCGTATCAAAAAAAAAAAAAAAATTACCTCAGAAACTTTCCTTTTTACTCGACCTCCTACAATAATTTCTTCTTTCGATGCTTTATCATTATCATCTTAAGTATTATATTGCGTTTACTTTCTTTTCTTTTCTTTTTTCTAGTTTAATTGAGTATAAGGGACATAGATTAAACTATTTTTAATAGATATTATTTTACGAAACCAGAAGTGACAGAAGCGGTTGGCAGAAGCTACGCTACTAAAGTAAAGGATGTAATTTAATAAAAAAAGATATTGAGTGTATAAAAGCACGAATATAAAACATAAGTTGGGAGTGCGCTTCATGCTCAAAAATGGAACTTTTATACTGTAAGGATATGCGATTAGGATCAAGTAAACTCTCCTGTACTTCTAACTAACTTATTCCTGGTGATTTAAAACTTTCCATCTAATATTAATACCTCGTGCCTCGAATAGCTATACCCATAAAAAAAACCTTCAACCTTCCAAGCCTTCCAAAAGAAGCTTATATACCCCTCCCTGCTCACAATGACTCTTAAAAATTGCGTTTTCTTGGCGTTTCGAAACCGATACTTTCGAAGAAGAAAGTACATATTCCCTTGGAAAACGTGTACTCCTCCTCAACTCAACGCTCTTCGTGACACGTGGAAAAATAGAGAGGTTGCTCGTAACACGAGGGGAGGCGAGTTCCCCGTAAAAATTGTCGAGCACGGTAGAGGTAGCCAACAAGTTGCTAACGTCGAATCAATAGAGGGACGGAGCAGCAACTCTCGAGGCGTGACTCGTCCAACCTCCCCCTCACTTCCACCCCTCTTTCCACCCAACTTCTCTCGATCTTCTTCCCACCTCTCACTATCTCCACTACTTCCTCTCCTTCTCTTTTTTTCCCTCTTCTTTCCCCGCTCCTCACTTCTCCTCCATCTTCTTTGTCTTCCTCAATTTCCGTCTCTCCATTCCTTCTTCTTTCTCGCCCTCTTCTCGCTGAGTCTGTAAAAGAATCTGTCTCGAACTCGTTCGGGATAATTGAGTTCTTTTGCATCGAATCGTCTCCATTAGCGGTAAATCCGGAAGCGCGAGAATCCAACTGTTATTATTGTAACCGTGATAAGGATTCGCGCACAATTTTTTTCGCGGGATATTATCTACTCTTATCGAGAAGAAGAGTCGAGACTTTTTCTTTTTTTTGTTTATTTAGAAAGAAAGGGGAAAGGGAATCTCTCTTGTTTTTAAAATTATACGTATATTTGTCATTTTCAAAAGTTACTGGATAAAAATATCCTTGTTGAAAAATTGTAGTGGATTACTCGTCATTTTAAAAAAGTCATGTGAAAAAAATCCATCTCCAAAATTTTGCATACCGCGTATAATACTAACTGACCATTTTCAAAAAAAAAAAAAAAATGTAATACTTAGAAAATCCTTCCCTAGAAATTTTCCATACTGGACAACTCTTTCGCTATCTTCAAAACTGTACAAAAGTAATATTATATCCACTTGAAAAAAAAAAATTTCAAATTTCCATTTCAAAAGATTCATTTCATTCCATTCATTTCTGCATTTTACTCACTGAAGAGATCCTTTGAAATATTCCAATATCCGTCAAAGTGATAATAATAATCTTGATTTCTGAAAAATTGTGAAAACGATGCAAGTTCGATCCAATGCTCAAAAGAAGCGAAGCTGCGCAAGTAGTATAAATCAACGATAGGTGCTCCGTTTGGTAATCGACGTTTCTCGAAACGAAACTATGCCGGATCGATCTGTCGGGATCCAGGGATCGTCCATATTTCATCCGAGCGTCTCTCGTCATCCGCAAGGCGGGGGAATACGGATTTTGGTCGAGGCATTTACAAAGCAAATACCGTGACAGGGGGAGGGAGAGGCCGGTGGTGGTTTCGGTTCGACAGCGGATCCTTTATGTCGCGCCGCGGCTACGTGGCAAAACCCTTACGTGTCTGGTGGTAATCTGAAAGGTTGGGGATGCTTTTTGTGTAAAGGTTCTCTTTTAAAAGAGAAACTTCGGGGCGTAAAGTGTTGCGGGAGTGCAATCTTCTTTCTTCTCATCCCCGATAGGGGGATGATTCATCGGTTCCATAAGTTGTTGTTACCCTTGTGTTCATCCTTTTTGTACGTATAGGTGCTAAACTTCTATCGGTTCTCGCATTATCTGTGTACAGGGTGTATTATAAGATATGATTTAATTTCTTTTTTTTTTTTTTTTTTTTGGATTTAGAGCGAAAGATTTTTGAATATTTTATTTTTCTTTAATGGCCGAGTATTTTGTAGATACTTTTTCTGAGTTGTTGAATATTTTTTACAGTACATTATTTATAGTACAGGGTGTATTCTGTGTATTATATAAGATATGATTTGATTTTTTTATTATTTTTTAAAGCATTTAGAGTGAAACACTTTTGAATATTTTATTTTTCTTTAATGGCCGAGTATTTTGTAGATACTTTTTCTGAGGTGTTGAATATCGCATTATTTATAGTACAGGGTGTATTCTGTGTATTATATAAGATATGATTTGATTTTTTTATTATTTTTTAATCAAAGCATTTAGAGTGAAACACTTTTGAATATTTTATTTTTCTTTAATGGCCGAGTATTTTATAGATACTTTTTCAATTCAAAATTAATTTTTGAATTATTTATATATATATAGAGTGTTTCATTGTAAAGTATTACAACGATGAAATGATGATTTTTTTGGATGGGTTTCAAAAAAAGAAAGAGTGTTTTATTTTATTTTTCCAAATAACGTGGTTAAATTCTGTTCTGTTTCAGGAACTTATTTCATCCTTTACGACTTCAACGATATTTTCGAGAAGGACCAGGCCAGTTTCTTGGAGCGAGAAAGATTCCTTGCTATTATCAACAACATCTTCAAGAACATGTCTCAAATTGAACGAGAAGCCATTACTTTCCAGGTATGTGGCTATGGTTAAAACTTTCAACTCTCTTCCTTCACACAAGGGAAATTCTTTTATCCTTCTCGCGGGTCTCGTTAAATATATCTCCAAGCCATGGAGAAACTTCAAAACCATAAAAAGATTGAATTGTACTGTGAAAATTCAATCTTCCATAATATACACTTATCACGAATCACGATATTACAATTTTGATCATTTTTTTCTTTAACAAATTTTCTCAACCGTAAAAACACACTTGCTGAATCAAAATCATAATCCAAGAAACGTAGCAATTCATACTCGATATTTTTTTCTTGAAATTTTTCTAAAACATTTCTCAACGAATTCGCACAAATGATCGAAAAGAAAATTTTCCACGAGCCAAATAATAACACGATTAATGGAATATCTTCACAAAATTTCGCCGATGATCATCCATGGAAAGATCGATCTATGTTGCCTTATGTCTAAGGTTCGATCATTGTTGCCCTTTTATTATTAAATTACACCCACTTTACTCCAGTGTTGTAGGTCGATCTTAAGAAAGGGTTGCGACGTATCGACATATTCGGTTCACGTATATCGCCTCGAGACACATCCATAGCTGGATGAGTAACATAAGAGACGCGGGTTGCAGTAGTAACGGAGCGCGCAAGTCAGACGCTTTGTAGCTAGGATAAGTGGTAATGGAAGTCAGGAGTCGGACGCAAGGGTTTAAGTATTCTGGTCACGTGGTTACGTCATAGAAGCTCTTCAATCCTCGGATAAGAATTTATCCGTCCTTCCTTTTCTCTATTGTTAATTACGAAAATTAATCTTGGTTTTAATTTTTCGTTTATAATCTTTCTTCTTTACGTTCTTCGAGTTATTATCTCTGATGGAATTGAGGTATTGCTTTCCCATATCGAGATGGTTCGACGTCGATGAAATCAATTTTAATTTTAATCAGATTCTGTCTAACACAAATTCAAAGTTCTTGTAACCTGATTTTCGTATACCATTTTTCTTTGCTTTGTTCTCTAGAATTCATCCTCCAAAAATACAAATCATTACCTTATATAATAAAAATACATTGAGAACCACACATAAATTTAATTTTTTTTATACTAACTTCAAAAATTCACTTCAAAAATACATTGCTTTACGTAACACATAAACTTAAACTTTCTCATAACTAAGCCTCGACCGAAATTTCCTCTGCTTTCTCCTCCAAAAATACTCCACAAATCATTCCCTTTATATATAACAAAAATACATTGAGAATCACTGCTTGCTTTCCGACGCCCAAACTCAAAGTTTCAACTCTCTCGAAATCCATTATCCTATTATATATGACAAAAAAGAGTATTGAGAACCGCTGCTCTAACCGTTTCTTCAATCTGAAATATCAAGAACGAGTAACAATGAACATGGGGGATGAGAAAGATCGGGAAAGACTGGTCGAGTGTAAATACGATGCAATCTCGCGTGGAAGTTGGGATGAAAGTCACCCTCCCTCCGTCGTTCCGCCGCGTTAATATCAGGGCGGAAATGGTGGCCGCCAAAGGCTGTGGAAAACTTCCGTGGAGCGGAGGTGGTTACGATGGAGGTGGTGCAGTGCAGGTGTACGCGCACCTCTTCCCCTCCTCCCCCCTCCCCTCTTTGGGTCGAACCCAATGTTTCAAAGTGGCCCACCACCCACCAACCCCCTCTTTCAAACTCTCGTGAAAACGACGTTTTTCCAACGAAATTTTTCCCGCGCTCTAGTACCTTCCTACGTCATCCTCCTCCTTCGAGGAACACCGTTGGAAAAATTGAACGATTTTTTGAAATTTCGAAACACACTTCGGGGAGTCCCTTAACTTCGACTCCGAGGGAAAAATCTTTTCTCCTATGCAATTTTGAGTTTTCACGAATATTCTACTCCCTCGTGCGAGGAATACTCTTTGAGCGCGATGATAAAACAGATTCGCAGATCTTGGGAATTACGGGGGTAACGCGTTTTTTAAGGTTAAAGCCGGAGAGATTTAAAGGGTTTTTCGAAGGTGGTGGTTGTCGTACGTAGATCTATATGATTGGAGATTTTTAATTATTTTAAGCAATTTGATACGAGGATTTTGAAATAAAAGGATGTTCTATCTATGTTTTTTTTTTTTTTTTTTTTTTNTTTTTTTTTTTGATTCTTTGATTTAATAAAATGAAGTCGATTCGTGATTCTTTTCTATATTGATTTATTTAGGAGAAAATCGTTTCGATCTTTTTTTTTTCGATATTAAATTGAAAAGTGTATAATAAATAATTTCTTTTTTTTTTTATAAAGAAAAGTAATTTTATTTACGGATTCTTTAGAGAATTTTCTTTCTCCTACCAGGAGTTCTTCTAGGATTAATAAAACGTCGAGATTTTATTACGAGTGTTTCGCGGAACCGTGAACCCTTGGGAAATTTAGAAACATTAATACGCAATCGTACATCAGTTTGACCAAAGCATCGTAAATATTGGTTATCTGTCACGGATTGTCTGATATATTTCAATTATTAACAACCATCTGAATAATTCCATCGCTCCTCCCTTCTCCCTCCCGATTGATTGATCCTCGAAAACTTAGAATAAATATCGGAATAAAATTTAGCTACGAATTAATCCTAGGATTCTACGAAAGTAGAAAAGTAGAAAGACAAATCGATGATTGAAGAAAATTGAATCGAAGTTCTTGTTGCGAAATGAATATCTATTAAAATCTATTCTAAATTTATGAAATATTTCTCACACACCCTGTACAAGATCACCATTCAACCCCGTCGCAATCTTCCATTAAAAACCACGACGATTACGACGACGAAAAATTTATTTTTTCTTTTTTTTCTTTTTTTGCTCTCGTTTAAGGGATAAAAAAAACACCATCCTTTCCTATGATCTACATTCTTTGTCTCACATTCTTACTCACCCCGTTGAATTTACATTCGAACACGCTTTCTCTCCTCCACCCTTGCAATGAAGTAACCCTCGAAATAGACCCTCAATTTCGCCTTTCTCGCCAATTTTCACCGCCTCGATGGAAAGAAAGAAGAGGGAAGAAAAAGAAAGGGAAAGTGTCGAAGAAAATAGGGGATGCTCGAGGATGATCCCGAGGGTACCTCGATGCGGAAGTTTTTTCCACCCTCTTTGGAAAGACAAACAGCAGCGCGGCTGCGGCGAGAAACGAGCGAAGAGAAAAGAGGGTTGGTCCGCCTATTCCACGGCGGATGACGTGAACGTGGCGCGTCACGACCGATTTTCACGACATACGCGATAAAAGGGAGCAAGGAATCTTTCCCAAGGTGTATATTTTTTTCGCTTGATGAAACTTCGTGCTTCCTCTCGCCTCGGGGAGATTTCTCGACCCTCGCGAAGATTTCTCCTTACTTTATCGAAGAAATTTATGAAAGAAACATCTGGATTCCTTTTTCTTTCGCGGATATCACGAGGTGCCCTTTTTCTCTTCTAATTGTAATTTTTTGTGTTTATCGAAAAATCAATACTCAGAGGGGAGTCTCTTCCCTTGACTCTCGACGCCGCTTTGAACGTGTCAGTCGAGTGTTTCATTGTGTGTGTGTGTGTGCACGGTCAATGTCACGCTTCCTGAAAATCATCCCCTTGTTTTGCTCCGACGTACGCACGACTGCTAATTACTTTCCCGTCGCTAATATGCCGCGGGCGTCAAAGCGACTTTGTCAAGGATCGGAGACACCGTAAAACCTCTGGTCTCTCTGGTCCATCCATTTAATTAAGCAAGTACCTGCGCACCATGTGGAGGGTGGACAGGGAGGGTGGTGGTGGTGGTGGTTGATGCGGGATGCAGGCTGGAAAATTGTAAGTGGAAGGGGTGTAATCGTTGCAAATTTCAATTTTTTTGGAAGGGAAAACAAAAGAGGAGAAAAGATGAATTTAGCTTGTGTTAATGTCGTTTTTTGGAAGGACGTATCTTTGAGGAAGAACGAGATTATCTGGAAAATTGAAATTGGAGAAGGTTTTTCTTCTTTTGAAGATTCAATTTTTTTGGAAATAAAAGGAGAAATAGATGAATTTTAAACGTTGCTTTTAAAAATTGAAAAATATTTGAAAGATATTTTTTGAAAGGAGGAAGATGTTGGAATTTCGATTTTTTTTTTTCTTCTTTTTTAGAAAAGAAAAAAAAAGAAGTGTGTGCACTTTTACGGTTTAAACGTTGGTTGGAGGAAGAAGAAGTATCCTTGGAGAAGGGATTGCTTCGAGGTGGAAGAGTCGAGGGACAAGCTTTTAAGCTTTTCTAAGAACGTGTCATTTCTTTTTTCTTTCTTTTTTTCTTTTTTTTTTTTTTTTCTTTGCCCCTTCTTCTCGACGTTGATGAATAACTCTTGCTACTTTCTTGATGCCAAGAAGATGTTTAATTCAGGCTGGATTAAGAATATTCGTTGACTTTCCCTCAATTTCCTTCTCATCTTTCACAAAAATAAAGTTGCCTTTTCGGGGATATAAGTTTCTGAAAATACTGAATACGACCTTCAGAAAGATATTTCTAGATTTTCCCACCAAATACACGAGTATTTTTTTCGTGTTTGTATATTTTATCAACGATATAAACGAAATAACGACATAAACAAAACACGCTCTCTTCATGCAAATTTCATACACCATTCGTGATTACCGTGTTTTCACAAACAAATTTAATCATATTCTGAGAATAAAAATTCTGATTTCGACGATATTCGCAAACCGAACGAGAAACAACAACAATCTCAGATACGAATTGCGTAAATAATTCCTTCCTAACCTCAAAAATAATTTATTCGTCGATGAATAATTTCGATTCGTCGAAAAACCGTATAAAGGAAAACGAAAGCAACATTTTTTTAGATAAAAATCTATATATCTATATACTTGGAAACATCTTCATACATTTTCCTGTTTCTAACAGAATCTTGGTCGATCGATAGCCGATCATGCATACGCAAATGTTTACCTTCGTCGTTTGACAAATACAGGGAACCACGTTACCGACGTAGTCGGGGAAAATCGGA